TCCATAAATGTCGTAAAGGCAAAGTCTGCGTCTAACCTGTCCAGAACCTGGGTTCTAAGTTTGCGCACAGTCTTGTTCTTGATACTTTTGATGGTATCCATTATATACGAAGTATTTTATACTTCGTTTGCAGTACCCAACAGAGCAGCAGTAAGGGACACACCGCGGAATTTCCGTAAATCTGCTGTACCCGCGTTCGTAATTTCCCGGGTAAAACCCGCAAATATACGGCATCAATCGCGAGTCCCCCTTACTGCTGCTATTTTTTATTACCAACTCAGTGGCGTAACTAGGGATCTTGCAGGGAGGTGCACAGGCAATAATTTGCAGAACCAAAAAGAATAAAAAGGTAACCAAAAGAAAGCAGAACCAAAAAGAAAAAAAGAAAAAAAGAAAAAGAAAAATAAATAATAAAAAAAGGAGATGGATGAGCGAACCTTAAGCTTTTATGGGGGATAATTTGCAGAACCAAAAAGAATAAAAAGGTAACCAAAAGAAAGCAGAACCAAGAGAAAGCAGAACCAAAAAGAAAATAAGAAAAAAAGAAGAAAAAGAAAAAAGGATAAGGATGAGCGGACCTTTAACTTTTATTGGGGGGGGGGGGGGGGGGGGGGGGTGCATGTGCACCCTGTGCTCCCGCTAGATACGGCCCTGAGACTGGTGCTGAGCGAGAAGAAATAATCGCTGGCCGGTTCTAAGGGACTTCAGTTGTTTTTTTCCTGATGCAAAAGATAAATGCTTTGTAAATTAGGATTCCTATTAGGTTGAGTTCAGAGAAAATGAAGGGATGACTAGGAAGTATACAATGGATGTTTAACAGATTGACGGATATAAATAAATGGATGAAAGAGAGTAGGTATACATAAATGGAGTAACGGGAAAGAAAAAAAGAAAGCAAGAAAGATAACCACAGAGGAAGGAAGAAATTATCTAATGTCAGATAGGAAATGGATGAATGAATGGATGGATGAATGGATGGGACGAAATGAATGGATGAATGGGACGGAATAGATAAAATAGGTGGCGAATAAATCATTGCAAATGAAAAACTAGGCTTAAACCAACAGACACATACTGACGATAAAGACAAATTTGCGCGGCGCACTACAGCATGGGACCGGAAGTACGTCATTCACTTCCAAATATGGTAAACAACACTAAGTCCCTAGATTTCTCTTACTGCCTTGTCGTTATCGTCTGGGGAAGGGGAGTGGTGAGTGTATTTTTCTTTTGTCCCTCACCTCCCACACCCTTCCCCTAGGGATATTATAGACTAGCTACTAATCCTCTCTTTGCCAAATCAATCAAAGCATCAAAAAAAAATCCCCTATAGAATGCGATTCTTTGCTTGACTTGTGTCAATATTCATGTGTCTTGCAACCGTTAAACAAAGAAATGATACTCTAGGGAATGACACGTGGTCTGAAACGGTAAAACATTACGCCCAAGGTAAATAGGTCTATTCCATCAAAAAGCATAAAATTTGACACAATTTAAGTTATGCACGCTATTTTTATTGCATTCCTTTTCCTATTTTTTCGAAGAATATTATTGCTATAAGTATAAAAAGTATATTATTTGAAAAATATATATATCTAGATCATTAAGAATAAATGAAAATCCTGTACATCGTGGATAGAAATGTGTTTTAAATAAAACGATTTTTCAGCAAGCTTGCCATCTTCTTGGCTTGCCGAAATTAAACACATTTCTCACTACGATGTTCTGGATTTTCATTAGTATTCTTAAATTGCTTAACTTTATATATCCAGTCAGATCTCATATTGTTGATCCATCGTGTACCAGCGATTTTGTGGTTCGTTCTAATTTCTAGATTATTAGCGCATTTTATTTATATCCTATAATAAATCAGCCACGACAATTGTTAGCTAAGACTATAATCTTATGTCGGTTATACGATATTATTTTCAAACATCTAACTCTTTAAACGCTATTAATATATTTCTCAAAAGACTGAAATGGTATAAAAGGGTACGGGAGAGGTCGTTACAATGAAATCAGGGAGGGGTTATCGTTAAAAAGTTTGGAAATGACTCCTGGAAAAGTAGGATAATTTCCTCATATTGATGTGAAAAACAATCACATCAAGTGGGAGCTTCTTTTTTGAGCTTTGAGTAAACTTCAAAGCTATTACACTCCTCCCCCGCCCCCTCCATAAGGGCGTTCCCTTCTCTCTGAACCCCAATGAAATATTTTCCATCGTTATGAAAAATTTTGCTTATTTTAGTTTAAGAAATTAAAAACAACTTGTGATTGAAATCCTGTGGTAAAAAATCCTTCTCTTCAACACAGGAAGCCCATTCGCTATATGAATATAAACCTAGACATGGTTACAACTTGCCATGGATATATAGAATCTTGTTTTTCTTTCTGCTTTTCTCAACTACTGACTACTTATTTGCCTTTTTCTCTTTAAGATGTCCCTTTACCGTTTGTCAATTCAGCTCTCATAACCACTTGACGTCTGGACAACGAATACTTGAAATCATTTATAATTTCGTATCTTCCTCCTAGAAGACAGAACATTGATATTACTCGATTCTGATTGGACAAGATTAGTACAATTAAATCCCTAATTGTATTCTGTAGAGTCCCAACTAAATTCCTCAATTTTGTTGAGTGTATTATAAACAAAACAAAACAAACAAAAAAAAAAAAAACGCACAATCTTCTCGTACAATTCAGAATTTACAGATACTCGTGACGTTTTGAAAATCACTATATAAAGGCTAGTCGAAACTCTGAAAACTTTCAAAATATCACTCGTACCTATAAATTCCGAATTGTAATCGAGATCGTGCAATTTCCTATACTGTTATAGCTTATGTTACACTGAGTCATCAAGGTATGTAGGTAGATATAGAGGTGATAGAGGATAGGGAAAACTGAATATTTAAGACCGAGGGCACAGTATTTCGCTATCCGTATTGACTTGCATGCCAATGCTAGAAATGCTGTTTCTCGTTTTCTCACTGGACCTTGAAGTTGACTTCCGCTAAGGTTGTCGAAGCGTCAGTCACCACCAACAACAGTCTTTTTTCAAGACTACACTCACCCGTACGATCACACTTCACGACAAACAAATGCTAGAACATAATGACATAAGTATTTGACCAACCTCTTCCTCTTTGTCTTCAAATCCCAAGTTTGACGCAGCAGGCTCGACATTTTCCTTTTCTTGTTTTTCTTTCTCCTCTTCGTCTTTCTTCTTTTCACCCACAATTGCAACTGTTTCTTTCTCTATCTCTCCTACTTTTTCCTTTTCCTTCGTTTCTTGCTCCGTAACGTATTTTTCAGTGTTTTCTGCCTTTTCCTCCCTCGTTACTATTGCTGCGTTTTGAACAATGGATTCAACTGTGAAGACAATATACAACTTTAATTCGAAGGGAAGATTGGTGAAAGTTTTGTTCAAAGTCTTGCACGTTGCACGTCATACCGAGCCCGAACTGCATGCATAATAAGCGATTTCCATTAACATCAGCGAAAGGTCACAACCTGAATACTAATTTCCCTAAACTTTGTCTGCACGGTTTTTCGATATATTATCTTCTGTGCTGACATTATTTACATATGAATGTGATGTTTTTCAAGCTTGGTAAACAACATGAAGCAACATGCTACAAAACCTTGTCGTGGAATGTCGTGGAGACGCCTTATTTTGACGCAATGGCAAAACTTAAATAGTACGATTTGGCGCGTGTGATTAGGGAGCGCTATAAAATAAGTATGCATATTTGGCTGACTATATATGTCTTCTTTTCGGAGCTCAGGAAGAAAAGGTAGGAGATGCACTTATACCCCTCACTCATTATGCGTTACTAGCCCGCTCTTCATAAAGCAATACATTGTCGTTACCAACCTGGCTCTGTTTCATTTTCTTCTGCAAAAAATGCAGGATTCTCTGTACCCCTTACATCCTCAGTTATTTTCCCCATCTCTAATTCAACAATAGATGATTTCTCAGACTCGGCTAATGGGCAAATTTCTTCTTTCTTGTCTTCAATCGCTGAGGAAGCGTTCGCCTCTAGATTGTTTTCCCGCGAAATTTCGGTGAGTTGTACCTCCTCGGTGCGAGTGCGCTTGCCGTTGGAGGTAGGGCCATCAGGGCTATCTATGGGCATTTGGTCCTCGTTTTCTAATTGATGTAGCCTTGACTGGCCTGAATTTTTCTTCTTAGTGGATGCCTTTTAGTAATAAATAATCTGTTATCTTAAATGAATCTCCTTTGATGAAATGATTTTAGGATGGATGGATAGAGATGCGTGGCTGCATGGATAGACGATGGATGAAAGAGGGACAGAATTGGAGGGAGGTAGAAAGCAAAAAATGGATGGATGGATGGATGGGTGGATGCTATTCAACTGAGCGAGGAAACTTACCCTACACACACAGATTACTGTGACGATCAATACAATAATTAGAGCTACACCGATACCAATACCAATTCTTTCATTCTCATTGAACAAAGGCTCTGTCTTGGGAGTAGGAGCATCAGGACCACCAATGCTGACTGATTTCACCTGAAGAAAAACAAAGGCAATGACAATCCTCGATTTATCAAACCCTGAAACAACCTCTGGGCAGATCTTAGTCACGGCATGGCTAACTCACAGATCTAAATCTGAAATAACCTCTGGATTATTCAATGTCACGGCATGGCTAGCCTGCGTGCCTCCGAACGTTTACGACAGAAAATTCCGGATGCAGCGCAGGCTAGGCATGGCTCACTCACAGATCAAACCTTGAAATAACATCTGGGCTGCTCTTAGTCACGGCATGGCTAACACACAGATATAAACATGAAACAACCTATGGGCTGATCAAAGTCAGGGCACAAAGGAGGGAAACCGCAAAACCGCGATTTTGAGACGCTAATACGGTTTTATATTGATGGACAAAAACCGTGGTATATTCGCACTCTAAATCGCAATAACTTTTGTATCGTGATTCTTCTATCACAACTGTAATTCTGAGCCGACAAAACTTATAGGAGAATCGCGATGCTGAATCGTATCGGATCTTTCTAATATCACTAACCTTTCCTTCAAATTCCTTAACAAGTTCTCTCATCTTATTATTTTTCACGTAGTTATCCAAAAGTTCGTAGGCTTTAGTTGTCATTTCTTTGTCAACTTTATCTGAACCTTTTTCTGTAACGTAGAATTTAAGCTGAGCTTCCTCTGCACTTCGCGTAAACCCACCATTATGACACTCGGAGTCGATAATATGTATTCGTTTGTAATCTATCTTGTATGGAATTCCGTTTTTATTTTCGAAGAGTACCTCAGCAAGCCCTTTTTGAAAGTTTTCTATGTGTCTACATAATTGTGCCCAAGAAAAGGTGAAGCTGACAGTGATGATTACGCTTGGTTCGTAAGCCGGTGTGGTTGGTTTTGGTGTTGTAGGTCCTGTTGCTGTTGTTGATGCCGCTGTTGTTGTTGCTGCTGTTGTTGATGCTGCTGCTGTTGTTGATGC